ACCATAGGGGGGGACACAGGGAGGATGACCATAGGGGGGGGTCACGAGGCAGGAGTCCAGAGGGGGACGGACCCAGGGGGGAGGGGTCCGGGGGGAGAAACACGGGCGGGGACCCGGGGGGGGGGAAACCAAAGGGGGGACTCAGGGGGTTACGACCCATAGGGGGGGATACAGGGGGAGGGGCGACCCATAGAACCTGGGAGAGGGAATCCGGGGGGGACCCAGGGAGAGGGACCAGGAGGGGGGAGACCTGCGGAGGGGGTGGAGACGGGGGGGGTATAATGGACCATCTTTAAGGTCCCCCCGCTCTAAGCTTTCTCTGATCCCACGACGCTCCGCGGTGCTCCCATAGCAGGTGCGGGGCTCTCCGTCCCAAAGCAGACCCCAAACCCAGGGAGCGGAGAGGGGGGGGGCAGAGCATCACTGGGCTGGGGGGTGGGAAAGGAGGAAGGAAGGAAGGAAGGAAGGAGGAAGGAAGGAAGGAAGGAAGGTGCGGGGGGGGGGAGCGGCTCAGCGCCCCGCACCGCCCGGATCGCGGCGGGGGCGGAGACGGCCGTGGGCCCGCCCGGCCCGGGGAGGCGGCGGCGGGGCGGCAGGTGGTGCCGAGCAGCCGCAGGACGGAGCGGATCGCAGCCGCCATTAGACAATAGGCGGCGGCTCGGGGCAGAGCGGCGCGGGGCGGCCGCGGGGCCGGGCCCGGCGCGGACAAAAGGCGGAGGAAGAGGAGGAGGAGGGAGGAAAAAAAAAAACAAAAAAAACCCATAAAAACAAACCAAAGCAGGAACGGAGCGGTGGACCGCTGAGCGCGGTGAGCCGGGCTGCAGCCTGACATGATGTTTCCACAAAGCCGGCACTCGGTACGGCGGCACCGGGAGAAGGAAGGAGGGGAGGAAGGAAAGAAGGAAGGAAGGAAGGAAGGAGGGATGGGGGGAGCGCCGAGAGCTGCCTCCTCTTCCTCCCCATCCTCCTCCTCCCCGCCCGCAGCCACCGGGAGCGGCGGCGGGGGGTGCGGGTGACCTTGGGCGGCGGCGGTCCCGGTGGCGGCTGGCTCCGGTTGGGGGGTGGGCAGGGCTGCGGGCCCCCCATTGGGTGTGCAGCGCTGTGTGTGTTGTTCAAGGGCTCCTCTCACCTGCCGCAGCAGCTCAAGTTCACCACCTCCGACTCGTGCGACCGCATCAAGGACGAGTTTCAGCTCCTGCAGGCCCAGTATCACAGGTACGTGTCGGGTAACCGCCTCCAGAAATCACCCCCGGCATCCCGGGGGGGTCTGCCGTGCACCCGGACTTGGGGTCGTCCGCTTTGCCGTCGCTTCCCTGCACGGACCGGGACGCGGCGTGGCCCCAGAAGATGGGCTCCGTGCGGCAGAATGCGCTGCCCTCCCCTCCCAGCCTGGGTTTCCCCCCCGTGCGCAGCCTTCCCAGCGTGCTGTCGCCTCCAGCTCCCACCTGGCAGACTGTGAGCACCCCGGGGGGAGGCCCGGTGTTCACCCATTGCTGGCCTTCCTTTGGCAGAGGACCGGGAAGGGACCCAGCCGTGCGGTTTGGCCAAAAGCTGCAATCCGGGCAGGGGAACGCACTGCCCGCCCCCGAAAGATGGGATTCTGGAAGGAGAAAACGCTCTTCCTTCCACCCCCCCGCTCCCAGCCAGGTCTTCCCCCAACGCACAGCCCTGCCAGCCCTCCCGTGTGCAGCTCTTCCAGCCCTCCCGCCTCTCGCTGGGAGTTTTCCTCCCCTCTCCCTGCTGGCTGCCATTCTTGGATCGCGAATGCTGCAGGGAGCACTTAAAGCCAAATGCTTCCGCTTTTCCGCCTGCGGAATGGCTTCTGCTGACCCAAAAGCTGGCTGCTGATGGGCTCTCTTGCTGTTTGCTTTTTAGCTGCACGCATGCACCAAACCGTTGCTCTGTGCCCCGTTGCTCCCACCTCCCCCCCCCGGTGCTCAGCATCGTGCAGCGTTGTGCCCTGACCCCCCCCCCCCCGGTGCTGCAGGACCCGATCTGCTCACGGAGCAGCAGGTTTGGTGGAGGTGAAGCTGTTTCTTGTTTGAAACATAAAACCACGGCACATGCTGGTTGCAGCTGCCGGGCTGGGGAGCTGCGTAAAGCACAGCCAGCAGCACGTTTGCTCTTAAGGGTGCGAGGAACCCGAAAGAAAGGGGAAAAGCAATCATTCTGGAGGCTTGCGCTGCACCTGGGCTTCCCCAAAAGAGGTTCTGGCCGCTCGCTGAGCTGCACCGGGTCACACAGCAGGCTGGGATGGACCCTGCAGGATGCGACCCGCTGCCCTCCTGCTCGTGGTTTCTCTCACTTCTTTCTGCCTTTCCAGCTTGAAGTTGGAATGCGACAAACTCGCCAGCGAGAAATCGGAGATGCAGCGTCACTACGTCATGGTGAGGAGCTGCTGGGGCAGTGTGTGGGTGGCACGGGTGGGGAGCAGGTGCTGCTGCTGCTGGGTTCGTGCAGACAGAGCTGCTGGGGTGCATCTGGGGTGGAGGGGTTGTGGAGTTGGTGCCCCGCTGGGATCCCGAGGAGGAACCTGCCAGGGAAGAGCTGTTTTTATGGGATGTTTCCTGTCCATAAAGAGGGGCTGATCCTTGCTTGTGCTGCCCGGGAGGAAGCGGGGAGATGTGGAAATGAATGGGAAAATAGAATCCCAGGCATGGTGGAGCCTTCCCATCCTCCTGTGCCACCTGTGGGTCCCATCCCCGAGCCCAGCACGCCTGGCACAGAGCTGCTCGGTGCACGGAGGAGCCTGCTGCTTAATTTCTCACTGCTAAATGCTGGCTCCGTGCAGCATGGATGCTCACACAGCCAAACCTGGAGGCCTGCTGGTCGTTTTTTACCCATTCGTACCACCAGAATCGGTGACCTCGGCACTGCAGGGTCCTGCCCAGCGTGCAGGGAGCTCCTGGCTGCGTGCAGAGCTGCTCTGCTACTTGAGCAGGCCCTGGTGAGCAGCGTGGTGCTCCTGCTTCCCGCCCGGGCTGCAGGATGCAGAGAAGCAGTGATGTGGGAGCAGACAGAGCAATGCAGTTGGTATCAAAGCAGCAGCAAGCTGCTCCTCTCAGAACGAAGCGAGCGCAGACGTGGATCTTCTTTTCCCCTTTGGAAGAAGTGAGAGGAGGAAAGATGAGGAAGGAGATTTCTGAAGTCCTCAAATCAGCCTTAAAAGCAGCTCTTGGAGGGGTCGGGGATCGACTTCTCCTGCCAATAGCTTGCACTGGAGCTGCCTGTTGCTGGTGTGTGTGAGGGGGGTGGTTTTTGTGTGTGTGTGTTTCGTGCAGCTCCTTCCCAAACAGCTGGAGCTGCGTGCAGCTGGAGCCCAGTGCTGAGCCCTTCCATTTGCTGCTGGAGCAGCCACGTGGGCGTTAGGAGATGGGCCAGGCACAGCAAACAGAGCCGGGCTGTGCCTCTTTCCAGCAGTCATCTGCAGAGCACTGAGCTCTCACCATCGTGCCAGGGCTCTGTGAAGGTGCTGAGTGGGCTCTGGGTTATTTCAGGTCCCACCTGGGCTGGGGACAGTAGGTTTGCGTGGATGTAGGGGGCTTGTTTGCCTGCTGGAGTCCTGATTCTGTCTGTTCTCTTCTTCCCTGCTCTGCAGTATTACGAGATGTCCTACGGGCTGAATATTGAAATGCACAAACAGGTATGGGGAGGGGGAGGGCGGGCTGCGTGCTGTGCCCTCTGTCCCTTCGGTGGTATTTCAGGATGTCAGACGTCAGCGCTGCTTTTGGGATCACCAGCTCTGGTGTGGGGGAGGACCTGCACATTTTTTCCACCCCTTGACCTTATAAAAACGTCTTTTCTTGCTGGGAGGAAAAAAAAAAAAATCAATCATCCTGGCAAAGAACTGCCTTTACAAACCCTTCTGGAAGGAGGGGATCCTGCGGGTGCTTTGGCTCTGGGTGCACACCTGTCTGGGCTGGGTGGAAGGGGTGATCCTGTCCCCCACCCCACAGATGCAGTCAGTGCTGAGCTCTGCTGCAGCCTGGCTGAGTTTGTTGGTTGCCCTCGCTGGTGGTTCAGCTGTTTGGTGCCTCAGTGGCTGATTACCTGTGCTGCTAACAATGTGAGCTCCTTTAGCTCTCGGTCATCTGTACGTGTCCCAGCTTGGCTCAAAGCCTCTTAGCACCATTCTGCTCCCTGCAAATGCACTCAGAGCCTCCGATCCCATCACCTTGGGAGGGAAATCTTTTGGCCAAGCTGCAGGATTTGAGCCACGGCTCCTCACTGCCATCTCCCAGCCCACAGCAGTGCTCGCCTGAACCCTGCGGGTCCCTCTTCCCCCTTTGGGCTCTTAGAGGGTAACCTGCAGAACTCTGACTGCTTTGCTCTTCCCCAGCCAAAAAGCTTTAATGCACCCCCAATTTGCTGCCTGCCTTTGATGCAGGAGCTGCCCCCAGCCCTGTGCTCTGCGTCAGCCCATGGGGGTAATGGGTGGGGGGCTGAGGATGCCCAGCAAAGTGAAGGTCACAGCCCACCTGTGTCTGCATGGTGGCTGTAATTCAGCACATCCCCACCCAGGTCTGTAATAAATTTTCTCTCCGGTTGCTCCCGACTTCATTAAATGAACACTGGAGACCCTGAGAGGGAAGAGAATATTGAAAACTCGCTCTTTGCTGTCAGCAGCTCAGATTTATTTAAGCATCTGGGGGCTGCGGTGTCCCCCCACTTATACTGGGCTCCCTCCAGCACCCGTGTTGTTGTTGCAGGGAGCCGGCCGTGCTCAGGGTGGGTGCAGTGGGGTCCCCTCATGCCATTCCTCTCTGTTGTTTGGTTTTTTTTCCTTCC